GGTGAGACTGACTGGCCTGTAGTTCCCTGGGTCTTCCTTTTTTCCTTTTTTAAAAATGGGGGAATTTAAATTAAGTTTTTTAATATAAATTATTTTTATTTAATTTTTAATTAATTTGATTTTTTATTTTTTAAAATTTAAATTAATCTTTTAAATTAAAAATTTCCTCCCATTATTCATTTCAACATCCTGTTATTTCACCAGCATTTTTACATAGCTGAGTACTGATTGGTATATTTGGTGTGCTATGTGGTCCACCACCATTGCAGTGTTTGAAGTATGTAGTTGGGATGCGGTTTTAGTAATGCTCAAATTATTTTCTCAACATCCTGAACACCTACTAATAAATAGATGCAACGCAGAGATTGTTTTTAATCTACTTGTATCTCTTCTGTAGGCAGAAAAACATTTGCCAGGCTGTGACAAGAGTAGCCTTTTTGAAGGCAAGCTTTGAGGATGTGAAGCACATAATAATTGATGAAGCACAGAATTTCCAAGATGGGGAAGGTGATTGGTATAACAAAGCCTTGACTCTAACTTCAGCACCGTATCTCCCTGAGCCCGGCTTTTTCTGGATTTTCTTGGACTACTTACAGACAAATCACTGCTTCTCAACTGGTCTTCCAGCAGCAACACGGCATGATCCTGTCGAGTCGCTAACCAAAGTGGTTCGTAATGCTAACAATATCTATAGGTATATAAAACAAAAGATGGAAATTATTGTAAAGTGCTCTACCCTAAATATCCCCAGCCAGCGTTTGGAAAAGTTATTGTGCAGAGCCACGTGTGCTCATGCTGTGCAAGGCTGTATTGAAGTAAAACACAACCTAGACAGAAATGGAACAGCGAAGTATGTGGCAGAACGTTGTCGTACATATCTTAAAAAGGGTTACTCCGAGAAAGATATTGCTATTCTGTGCTACAGTGATGAAGAAGTAAAAGCATACTATGGAATACTAGTATCAGAAATGAAGTCGAAGTCAAATATATTATTAACAAAAATGGAGGGAGGGCTAGAGGAGCACGCTATTCTTGACAGCATCCGTCGTTTCTCTGGCTTAGAAAGAAGCATTGTGTTTGGTATTATTCCTCAATCCTTTCCATTTCAGGAAAAAATTTTCACAAATATATTGGTCTGTGTAGCATCCAGAGCTAATTTAAATCTACACTTGGTAATTGGAAACAGGTAACCACATAGGATCCCAACAAGGCCCTGGTAGGTCAATGGTTATATAGGTTTGAAATTTTTTTACTCTGTATTTGAAGTAGAAGGATTTCCTTTGTAATGGCCAGTCCTCTCTAAAAGCCCAGAAGTTCTTGGAAAGCCTCTACAGTCTGTTTTAAATCAAATGTAAGGTTTCAGTAATGCAGAGAGAAGAGATACTTTGAATGCCAGTAGAATTACATCATTCCCTGAAGGCTCCTTTCAAGGACTTGCAAAACCTGATGCTCAGCCTTTGACCGCATGCAGGCGCATTGCCAAGTGAAAGCCACTATGCCAAGACAGGAAACTGGAAGACTTTCTGGCTTTCACCAGCTCACTCCCATACTCACAGTTCTGCTCAGAAAAGTTACCAAACAGCACAGGCATCCAGTGTTAGAAGCCTTTTTTTTTAAAAGACAGCCCCTGTTCGGATACCTAGGAAACTAAAAATGGGGCCTCTGTCCATGTTTTAGCTAAGAAATACAAATAAATGGCTTTTACAGAAGTAGTTTCCCCACTCAATTTCGGCAACAGTCAGTATGGGTTAGAAGAAACCGGTTGCTCCGAAGAGGAGCTTTAGTGGGAGAAGGAAGACTTTGCATAACTGCCCTTAGATACCAGTGGCATTTTTGTCTTCGTTTCAGACATGTTGGTTAGATAAAACTCTCTGTATAGAGTTATGCAAAGTACTTTTGAAAGACAGCCAAGATTCCTAAAACTGGGTATCCAAAATTGAAGGCTGGTTGAAAACAAGCCATAGTGTGGGGTTCATTCGGTTTGGAAGAAGTCTGAGAGCTGATGCAAAGTTTTTTGAAAGACAGCCAAGATTCCTAAAACTGGGTATCCAAAATTGAAGGCTGGTTGAAAACAAGCCATAGTGTGGGGTTCATTCGGTTTGGAAGAAGTCTGAGAGCTGCCTAGTGTGATTATAAAGCACCAGCGATTTTACTGAATGTGGTTACAATAAGGAGAAGACATTGTACACAGCTGGCATAACCCTCCAAATAAATTTGCCTTTAGGTTGTCAAACCTATTACCTTAAGAATTCTTGCTTTTCTAACTTCAGGAAGCTAGAGGCACTTTCCATTTTTTTCCTTAATCAACGTACAAGGAAAGACTATCCCCGTGGTTCCTTTCATAACCCCCAAACCTCAACACTTAATCACGCTATGCCTGTCATGTTCATGCCATGCCTATCAGGTGAATGTAAATATTTACATAATAAAGTTTAATGTGATGACCAACTGGTGGGTTTGCTTCTCATTCCGCTTCTTCCATGAGATATTTTCAACATTCCCTGTTGAGCCAGACACTGCGCCCTGGTGCGAACCTCAGCTTAACCCATTAGTGCCACCTCCTCGTACAGCCTTTCATGGTGACTTTGCGTGTTCATTTGAGCAGCACTGGAGAGTTTGCAGGTGGTGAAAATTGAGCCTGTGCTACCGATTACTCCAGCTTCCTGGGTATGATGCAAAGCTGCAAGTGGGACTTGCCTTAGATTTTCCATTTGCTTAATACAAGCAGATCAGGAATTCCACATGGAACAAAGTAGTGAATTTATTGAAAGTTCATCCACCATCCTCACACTTTGGCACACCACTTCAGGCTGTTTAAAAATACCATAAATGAACAAAAAAAGCACACAGCTAAAACCCAACCTATTTTCTGACTACAGAAGAGGAGGCATTTAACCCGCCCTGTTCCACCATTGCTAGGAATTCCAGAAGTACCAGGAGCTGTAGGTGGTTGCAGAACAGATTTCATCTCGGCTGAGTTTCCTTCCAACAGCCCCCTGGCACATTTCCAACACAACCAACTCTTTCACAGCTGGGCCTTGAAGCTTTCATCATGATCAGCCGAATGGGGGCAAAGAAAGGATTTACACCATCTGGGAATTACTCAGATGGACACTTTTCAAATTTCCCAGGCAAATGCCCCCCTTTTCCTCATACAGTTTCTGATCCTCCAAAGCTCTCCCCAGACTATTCTGTGCCTTGACAATGGCACTAGATTTTCCTCAGGGCTCTCACTTTTCCACATTTCTCAGTAGCTTTTTTTCCCCACTCAGCCTTTTTTTGGTACTTTTTGTTTCCTCATGCCCGAGAGAGAGGTTTGATCAGCCCATAATCCATGCACCTTGTGAGGCAATCACGTGCTACGTTAATGATGTGCTGCTTCTTGGGGTCATCTTCTTGCTTGCCAATGTATGTCAGAATCTCTAGGAGCTCTGTCTCCACCAGCTTCTTCGCTAGCTCTTTGTCAGCACTGAATAAGTTGAAAGCGATGACCAGTCCTCGGTGCTGCACTTCCATGTTATCATGCAAGCAGAGCCTCTGCAGGATTTCAAGCCACTGGGTGGTCTTCAAGGGAGAGAGAGATCATTAGTATTGATCTGAAGAATACCTCAATCGAGAATGCGAGTTTGGCAAGGCATTTCTCAGCAGAAGGAAGCGCAGGGACTCACCTCTTCATACTCATGTCAGGTAGGGTTATCTGATAACCCGACTCCAAACTTTTAAACCCAATTTTTGTTACACTAAAGTCAGAAGCTTTCATGGCACTAGCACCACATGAAACACGTTTCATGTTTAGGCTGCTGGATAATCTCTGTGCAAAGAATCTGATCAGAGCATTGACACAGCTGAGATGACCAGAAGCAGACCACCCACTCCCCACTCTGATTTTCCTGAGCCCCTCCCTTTGACTTGATTAGTCATTTTTATTCTAACAAGCCCCAGTGCCCAGCATCAGCGTGTGTGCAACACAACAGGGTTCGTGAGTTCTCAACCACAGCTCTTCACAGATATTCAGCAGGGTCTGAATTCTCAGCACCTACAGATCTGTGCAAGGAATGGACATGTTTTGGGATCTGTAAAGCTCAATAGATTATCTATCAAGCTCTTCTCATTTCTGACTGAAACAAGGTTTGGATTTTAGGTTATCAAAAGCTTTAAGGGCCTATAGAATAATATTCTGCGTTCCTAACCTTGCTTGACAGTTAGCATCCTGGACTTCGCTTGAAGAATGGCTATATAGAAATGTTTCAGCTCTGAGATGAAGTCTGGTATAAGGCAGGCTGGTTTACTTTGTGTAGGGATGGACTAGGAGCATGCACACCCAGGTCTCAGCTTCACCACTAAGTTCCTCACTATCAAACTGGTGGACTACACCTTCCTTTTGAGAGGCATTTTCATGACTGAGACAGGCCCCTTCAAGGGTATGTCTACACTGCCAGTAATCACCTATGGTCTTACCACTTCAGTCATCTTGGAGCAGAGTTTCTTTTGTGCTGCTGTAAGCATGGCCAGGGCTCCTGCCGCTGCAACCTGGACTTTCTCATCATCCTCACCACACAGTAACACCACCAACTTCAGCCGGTCATTTCCATCAGCCACAAACCGCTCTTGAACCTAAAAAAACCCCACCCCGTGATATCCAGAGATAACACATTTAGGAATGCCTCATCGCAGTGGGTCACAAACTGGCACACACAAGTCAAGTCTGAGATGCCCAGTGAGTTACCTCCTTGTTGACCACCAGGTTGCACATGCACTCTGTGGCTGCCTGTCGAAGTTGGTCGTGATTCTCAAACATATAGTTTTCAATATCTGGCAGGGCCCTCTCTTTGACTATCTTCATCCTGTGTTGAAGAGCAGTCAAAATGCATCATGGGACAAGCAATAACCGACTTCTAAAATACTAACTGCAGACAGGGAAGGCCTTGAAACAAATCTGTGCCCACAGCACTGGAGCTCATGATGTGGTTTATCTCTTATCCACTGCAGGTTAGGTTCATGTCTTTCCTCTTTCTAGAGGAAAATGAGTCACTCTCCTCTTTCTGGCTATTTTATGAGTCTTAGTTCCAAGACCTTTGTAGCTCTGCCAAAGGTAGCTCAAACTGACCAGTGTTCATAGTCCTACAAGAAAACTTGAACTGAAATTCACATTCACCCCTGGGGAACAAAGAACGTCAAAAAGCAGCTAAACTCACCTAAGTTTATCACTTCTTCCTGAAAAGTTAGTGAGACCTAACAGAGCCTCGTAATTCTGGAGGCCGTCTCTCTCTGTGTTCAGCAGGCTGACGAGGGGCCTCACCACCTCATACACCTAAGAAGAGAAGGCATGTCACTGCTTTTCCAGCTCACAGATCTTGGCAAATTTTCATTTGCTAAAGGAATAATCAAGAATTTTTTTTTTTTTTTAAGGTTACCCTCTCCCCTGGGAATGCCATGTCTGGATTGGAGATAGCAGCAATTTTTGCCAGAGCGTGAGAAGCCTTTATCTTGCCAACTTCTGTGCCTTCCACAGCCAGAGGTATCAGGGCCTAGTGACACACAGGAAAGCATTCAATGCCCCTGAGAAGATTTACAGGATTGCCTTAATATACTAAACTAAGTGAAAAATATCCTAAAGATGTGTTTGTTGAAGAAATGGGTCTGGACTGTAGCCCACAGCGGCGTCTTGCTTTTGTTCTCAAATACGCACCAACACCAGAGCTTGTAGCTCACACAGTTGTTTCAAGAAGACTGCTTCTTTGGAGGCTTACAGAGATAGGACTAAAGTGTCAGTCTGGGCCCCAGGGGCTACCAAGACATCTCATGCTTTTCTGCCACATTCCCTCACTGTAGACACGTTGCAGGCTCCCAACAGACATTAACTGCACGTCAGGTTGAGCTGCAAACATGAAAGTAATCACCTTTCCACCGCCTTGAGCGACAATGGTCCCACGGTCCTTGGGGTCTTCACACAAGGCAAGAAACACCCTGCAGAAGCACAGCATCACTTAGCGAAACAGCCACGCGGGAAGGCAATAACCCATGTCCCCTGTGGAAGGGGGCTAAGGTTTTGCAGGGGTGCCAGATCCACCAGGTAAATTCCAGATGTTTAACCCAGTGCCCACGGCACTCTAGGAGGAAGCAACAAATGGCACAGTAAAAAGTTTCCAGGCCTGTAAGATGAACTCTATTCCAGCCAAAACCAGTACAGAGGACTAGAAGTTCAAAATGCATCCTAGCAAGGCAGCCCTGTAAGCTGGCTTCAAGGTCAGAACGTGGATTTTTATGACGTTGCTTAAGAAAAACTTTGGGTTTAAATCTTTTCTCCACCTCCCTTTCATCTCGCCCCCGTAGGCAGAATGTACCACCCCACAAAGCAAGGAGCCAGCCCAGGTGCCCATCTCAGTGGCACACAGGCTGGCCAGCACTCCCAGCTCCCACGACAGCGATGAAGGCACCTGGCGATGAGCTCCTTGCTCTGGTCCGTCAGTATGGCACTGTCCGCCTTCACCATGCAGGCCAAGGCAGAGACGACGCCAGCTTTCAGCAACCGCTTTACCCGCTTCACCACAAAATCCTTCTTGTCCTGGGGGGGGGACATTGGAAAGAGATTAGCCCCTTAGCAGTTGCCATCCTGCTGACTACAGCCAAGCCTGGTTGGAGAGCAAAGCAATTTCAGCCTCAGAGACGGGCGACCTGAGGTCTGTGACAACGGATACACCAAAGAAAGCCTTCAGATCCAAGCATCTCCTCACAGCTCCCCAGCTGTAGACAACCTACCTTCGGATGCTCCTCAGGCACGTGCTGCTTGGAGAATTTTGCCAGTTGCACCAGCTCTGGGACCAGCTCCTTGGTATCATAGCTGTTGGTACAGTTCACCAGCGCAGAAGCCACAGAATACAAGATAGTCTTGTCGCTTGTCTGCGCAGAAAAATAAAAGCTTATGTGAGGGTGAGGAGGACACGGCAAGGAAACAGG